CTTATTCAAAATAAGGATATTAAACCCCAGAGGGTTTTGCTTTCACCCACCTTTTGTTTATCCTGTTGGTATTTGCTGAGGTGCATTGGAACCAATCAGTTTATTCATTTTTATATTTACAAACCAAATATATTTATAAAGTAAATATTCTAGAGGCACTTGCAAGAAGGTAAACTGCATTCCGTTGATTCATGCTTGAGTAAAAATCAAGTTAAAGTCAGTGGAAAATATGTATTATGTGTGCCAAAGCAGTCCTGTAATTTTACTATATTTTCTCTGTTGTAATCCATGGGCTTTGATTAACTGAAGTGAGACTGAGCATAATGCTACACAGCTCTTCTACTGACTGAGATGAAATGTCATACCATTCACCGTTATATTTAATATGTGAATTTATCTTGATTTCTACTCACTGGCTAATTCACTTTTTGTACATGACAAAGTAAAACATATGTGCAGCATACTGGATATAAATGGATGTGGAAACTAACAACCAAGCAGCATTTGAGTTGTCTTTCTTTTGAATTATGAAGTTTGCATTAGCTGTTCATAAAACTGCAGCCTGTTCATTTTAGCCTTTGGTTCTGTTCTCTTGCATAAGTTAATATGTGCATGAATGATGCTGGCCTATAATGTAACTTCATTTCCAGGATGGGAAAGTTTTCTTTCATCTCAGCATATTATCCTGTTCTTAACTGCTCCAATCTTTTACCACACAATAAAACCTAATGAATCACCATTATTTCAAATCATATATCTCAGAAATGACAGTCAGCAAAAAAAGATAAAAGCATTACATAGGTTTTACATGAAGTTCATGTGCTATACCAGACCCTGGTGAACGATTTGAGTAACAAAAATAAGTCAAAAATTACTATCACTTGTTCTATTCATGGTCAGTATGTATTTGCACAGGTGAGCCAGCACCCAAACCCCTTTCCATCCCCAAAAAGTCACACCCCCAGCAAGAGGAAAAGGACCATACTAAAACAACAGATATCTTTCTTCTTCTGACCTCCACAAGGCAAAAAAGCATGTTCCTTGAAGGGATGACTCTTTGTATGCGTTCTAACATATAAATACATTGTAAACAACTATATTCTATTTTTTCACAAAAAACAGCAGTTATAGATAGCAATTATTCTGAAATCTGTGCTTGCCATCGACCATGAGATCTCCATAGATGGCTATACTCTGTAAAATCTCTTAAGAGATTATTACAAAAAAAAAAAATAAAAAAAAAAAAAAAAAAAAAAAAAAAAAAAAAAAAAAAAAAACACTTTTAGAGAAAATCCAGGGACTAAGTTTGGATATAGAAATGGATTCATTAACCATTGGTAAGTATGGGAAAGTTGTCGTTTGCCTCAGAGAAATTCTTTTTTTTTTTTAATCAAAATGAATAGCTGCTATCCTTTTAAACTTTAAATTCCACTTTTGAAAAATGTTATCAAGTATCTGTGGAGATGCAAGCTCTCCTTCAAACACCTACACCAACATTTTAAATGCATCCCAATGTATTCATGGAGATCAACAGGCCCCCTAATTGTAAAATTGTTCAGTATATGAAATGCATTGGGTAGTTAAAGTTTATGCAGTGGAAATTGCTTTTTCATGATAGCAAAACTGCAGTATTCAAGGAATGTGTGTATTTACATGGCAATATAGGCCTACATAATAATGATATTCCAATACTATTAATCAAAAATAATGTTTAAGGAAAACCTGCATTATAACCCGTCCCTTTATATGTATTACATGGTTGGCGAGTGTCCGTGGTTGGTTACCAATTTCATTATTATTTCATTGCCTACTAAAAAACAAGATGGCATGGGATGCTTGTCAGCTAAATATGCTGTTGTGGTTATTTGAAGTCCCTGGATAGTCAGTTTATTGACCATGGTGGCAAGTACTTCATCAACTCTAACATTACCAGATTATCAATTCAGTTCACATTTAATGGGAAGCTTACAAAAATAACAAAGATTATATTAGAATTGGAATTGTGAAAAAAAAAAAAATATATATATAATATATATATATAACATGAACTAGTTTTTCTCTTTTTTAAGGTAATTTAGCACTGTTAAAAGTGAAACTTTTATTCAAAATTAGAAAAGATTTTATCATCAATTTCACTTAATTCATGTGGTAAATACTTAAACGCATTTGTATAAAATTCTGATCATTAAATATATTGAGGATAGTTGGCAGACTGAAAAATTGAGAAATATTTTAAACAGCTATAAAGATATGTTTAAAAAATCACCTCTCTAATATTATAGTCATTATAGAAATAATAAGTGTCAACAAGCCTTTGCAAGGAATCTTCATTTATGTGCAAATGTAGACTTTTAATTCAATGAAGATAATGAAAGGCAATTACATGTTTTTCATTTGTATACAATTATGTGTCCACGCATTTGGAAGGCTATTTTGTCTTTTTGTGTCAGTATTGATGTTTATGGTAAATATTTGCCTTACAATAAAACAAACTGTATTTATGGATGTTTAAATGCCTGACTGATAATTGAACAATTTGTAGACAAAGAACTTATCAAGTCCATTAGATACCAGAAAGAAATGAATATTTGCACGGGGGTCTATTTGAACAATGCACAGAATCGATGCACATTAGGAAAACTTCCACTCAGTCAGAAAATTTGTTCAAATCTACTTGATATTACAGAAAGCCAAGTTTTATCCAATGTTTAATTGTATTGATGATCGACTCATATTTCCTACAATCCTTATTCTCTAAGGGCTTTGATTAAATGTGCACCGAAACCCTAGCATGGAAGAAAATATTGATCAGCGAGGGTTTACTGAACGAATTAGATGGCACGGGTTTTGTGACGACTGACATTTGCTTTTGTCGCCATTTACTTGACTTGTTTTCGATGGTATATTTTGTACAGCCGCCTTGAGTTTTTATTCCACATGTATAAAAAATTTAACTTTATTTGCTTTGACAAAACAAATGAACATACACTCCTACTTGTTTCACTAAAATAAACAGAAACTCGAAAATAATATAAAAGAAATCATTATCACATGATATTTTGTTACATTTTCTTGTTAGTTTGACGTGTTTCCGGCTGTCTTCTTTTAGAAATTGCAAAATAACATTTTGATTGAACTCTGCATAATAATGTTGGCCTATTATTTCAGTTACACATGATGATCGCGTATTTTTTCAGCAATGAAGTAAAATAGACCACGTGACCTGGCACCCGGCCAGCCACAAGTAACCACTGCCGCAGACTTACTCCCAAATGCAAAGATTGCATGCAGCCTGGGTATTATCCCTGTATGATTAGGTTATGCGCAATGTGTTAAACAGAGCTTCCTTGTAACAGTAATAACCAACCGCCACTGAAAATAGAAAAATATCACACACCGCCCTGTCTGTTAAAAAAAGTGGGCGTCTGTTGTTACTTTTACAACCAGCAGAAGTGAACGGACATGATGATAAAATGCCAAACCGAATTTGCTTAATTTAGATGCTGTACCTTCTACGTTCATTAAATGTCGGATTATCATTGTTTTCGTTTGTACAAAATACCCCATAATTAGATACTACTGTTCGAAATACCGGGATTTACAAAATAAAGACCACAAGACCCAAGTTATCAGCGCGTAATTGTTGGAAAGTAGAATGTTGCTGATAGTCTAATCAGACTGTCACGCTGGCATAATCCGTTTGAAAAGATCATCTGTCATTTTTTTTCTTTTTATGTGGTCAGTGTGGCACCGCCATTGTCAGCTGTGTAGCAAGCAGTGACTTTATCATAAAACGGGCACAAGAGGCTATCTCTACCCGAGGTTTATGTATATATAATCTCCCATTATGGTCTGATGATATCCCAGGTATATGATTACACGCGGTAAGTGACGTGTGATGGTAATTACATTGAAATTACTGCCAGCAATGAAGCAAATACAAAATCTATTATTTATGTATGAAAGAAGCAATAAGGCAGCCTTTCATATCCAGAGGGAAATGAAGCTGGCTGATTCTTTCACTTCGATTAGATAATCCGTATTAGATGGAATAGAAATTCAAATTGCTCTCGTTTCCAACATTTGCCATTTATCCATCTCCCTAATGAGATCAAAATAATGTCCAAGTAATGTTGGATATTTCTTCACAATATCACAAAGAAAAACTAATTCAAAAATAAAATTTGTCAAGGGAATTTAAGGGAAGAATTATTCCCCGTTGAGATAAATAACTGTCGACTGCCAACACAGGAAATTTTCTGATAGGTGCCTTCATAAGAAGTATTGATTCCTCCTCCGAATAAAACTCAGGCTTATTTTGGTGGGAATGGCGCTGAACAAAGGCAAGTCTTGCGTATTAACTTTCCGTGGTTAATTTGGGGCATTTGCTAGATGGAAACGACTTGCTAGTTCCGGCTGCCTGCTATTCTCGAATTTAGATAAGCTTGCAGTTGCTCAGCCCCCCTAGCTTCATTTATATGCACAACAAAAGTGACAGGTACATATCAAAACCCCACTGGGCTCTGCATCGCCAACGGTTCCAACCGCCGTAAAGTACGTATTCTAGTCTATTAATGTTGCAAAACATGCAGACTCACGATAGTGTAGAAGAAAGAACAAAATATTTTAGTAAATTTCTACATTCGGTTTGTTTTGGTATAAAAAACATTGTCATTTTATCTGTTTCTTTTGTTCTACAGGTCTAATAATTTTTTGATTCATTCGGATCCATAGCTTCTGAAGTGTGGGTTATGAGGAATACAAAGTAGTACATAAGGCAAAAATTATGCTTTTGTGATCAGATATGCGCATTTTCATCAAATACATGGACATAGCCTAATATAACTATTCGCCAGCCTGCACAATCCTGTTGTAATATATGCACAGTAGGCGGGGCCTATAGGAGCGGTGGCCGTTGAATCTGCCGTTCTTATTGGTTTAGGCGTCGAAAGTATTGTGCATAACTAATGACCCACGCGGACCGATGTGTCGGACTGTATTTGCAGATCAGCCAATCAGTTTACTCCATATATGGCAAGTTGTATTGCTTGGCGCTTTTGTTACTTGGCTAAACACCGCATGTCGTGGATGCTGTGTGTGGCATCTGGTACGAGGCGAGCAAATTTTCCCAGGGACATTTTCACCTATTTTAGCCGATTTGACCACCTTTGTCGAATATCAGATACTGTAGTGTGATTCCAGGTACATTAGGAATATCGACGATTGAGAATTCTTAGAAATAATCCAGCATCGATAGGTTAATTTGGCTGTGAAGTTCAAATCGCTGCACAAAGAAAGACTCGAGCTTTGGTGGGAATATCCGCCCTGTCATTGAAGCGGTGGTGTTTTACAATATTTCACTGATCTAAGGGATCAAGCTATCACACGGGCAGCCGGGATGTATCCCAATAGACATCCGGTAAGTTGAATCTTATTTCGAAATCTTGCTGGAATTTCGCGTATTGTTTGTACGCCTTATTTTCACGGTTCAGTTGACACAGTCTGAGATTCACCCAAGCCCATCCCTAGGTATTTATCTTCAGCTAGAACTCATGTGAAAAACAATCGTTTATCCATCTACGTAAACCTATGGTTGCAGTCGTATAATTCGATCAGAAATATGCTGTATCACCTCGTCCCTACATCCAATCGACCCATTTTTCCATTTCAGGCTCCCCATCAGCCGGGCCAGCCGTTCAAATTTACGGTGGCCGAATCATGTGACCGTATCAAAGAGGAATTCAGTTTCCTTCAAGCCCAATACCACAGGTCAGTTTGATTTTTTTCTTTTTTTTTAAGATTTTTTTTCTGTTTGTATGAATCACTTGGAACCCAAAACAAATTAATTTTGAGTTATACATTGTTGTTTTGCCCCTTTGAATATTTTTCCAATTAGTAACTGCACTCAAACAACCAAGGGTGCTCTGGATTTCTAAATCAGCTAAAATTCCGTGATGACAAAGTAATAAATGTTGTGCAGATTTAGTTCACGGGTAATGACTGTGAAATAGTTGCAGCATGTGTAACAGCTTCCATTTTTTTTCTTTTTTTCTTGTTCACAGTTTAAAAATGGAATGTGAAAAACTAGCCCAGGAGAAGACTGAGATGCAGAGACATTATGTTATGGTAAGTATTTAAATTACTGTTTTACAAGAAACTTATCACAAATATTGATGTAAACTCCTTAAATTTTTGAAAGAAACATTTTTCATTTAGAGAGCCAGAAGATCACTTTCACATAACTGTTGTTTAAATATTTTTTGCCTTTGGAGTTATTTGAGTAATTATAGCCTCTGTTAGGTTTTTTGGTGTTATAATTATTACCTTAGAGCCCAGTGGCTTGAGCTGATGATTCAAGTTGAACATTGATTATTTAGGCTGGTTAGCCTTAGAGCCTGTTTATTTAATCATGCTGCATTGATAATTACATGCTAGAAACCACAGAGGCATAATACCACCGCAGTAACATTTCCTTTCAAAGCCAACCACAATTCTAGAATAATTCGTCAAATAGTTATAAACCCCAAGCTCTTAAAATTATTTGGGTACATATTTGTGGTGGTCCCCATGGCATGTTTGTCATTGAAAAAAAAAACTATTGTTTTCTCTCGTACACTTATATTCATTTATAAAAAATATGAGGATGCTTATCACTAACCAGCACTAAGTACTTAAACATGCTTGGCAGCAGTGTGAGATCATATCTCACAATAAAACATCCCCAAATTTTGTGCTGTAGTGCATTCATTACCTATCCCCATTAAATGGAGTTGACTGTCTCTTGAGGACTTGACAATTGTTATTAGATAGCTATTTGAAGGCCCATCAAGTGGTATTTAAATGACATGAAGGCACTGGGTTGATTTGGTTTTAATTTCCATTTCAGTACTATGAAATGTCCTATGGCTTGAATGTGGAGATGCATAAACAGGTAAGAAACATTCATTTCTGTCAGTCTTAATGTATTATTCAAAGAACTGTGGTGCGCGAAGCTACTGCGGCGTGACGTCTCCCTTGTCAGTTTATTGAAGGGATTAATGGACTGGAGGTGTACAACTCTAGCAACAGTTAAAAAGTGCAATTGTTGTGACCAAGGTAAAATGCACCCAAGTGTCCCCAGGTGCGGTCTCTCACTTTGAAGTGAAGAGACATGGCTATTGTGTATCACACAGCTTAGTACACACCAGGCTGGGGCTGAGCTCATCACATCATAAGTCAGCTTGGATTCCTCAACCACATTGTTCTCCGCATGACTGGGTTGATTTTACCAAAGGAGTTTTCAAATTAAAAAGGACTGGTCACTCAGAGATTGCCCAATGGCCATTTGATCATCAATCAAGATAATCGCTTTGCCTACCCCTCAGTCAGTGTGGTGTGGATTGGTTTTTAAAACCATGATCCTCATTGTGATCAAGTGTGAATAGAACTCCAGGATGGCACAATGGGGAAACAGTTGTCAGTGACAGCAGCTGTTGTAAACATGAGTGCTCTTGTTGTTCAGTGCAGACAATATGGAGTGGTGTGTGGTTTATAGCAGCTGGGCATGGGCAGGGAGGCGGAGAGCATAAGACGACTGACTCTGCTCAGTTCAAGGAGAGAGAAAAATGTGTAGGTAATTATCTGTGGTCTGGCGTCATCAAATTAGCTTCATTTAGTGAGACCATCCTGTCTGAATGAGGCTGCATTGGGGAATAAGGGGTTAAGATGAGTGGAAATTATGCTTGCCACATCCCTTGATAATTTCCTAGGTCACCATAGCATCAGGACTACCAGCATCATGATAAACCTGAATCTTTCTATAATTTAAATGTGCGTGCTTGACAACTGTCACACGCCATTACAGAAATAATAACTTTTTTTTAATTGAAGCCGGTTTCTGCATCAGTAAATATTCCCAGAATATTGGGAAATTCATGTGATGTAAAGGTTGGATTTACCAACTGCGCATTTTCCTTAATATCAGATTATTGATATTAAACCCTGCCATGCTTACTGGGGAGAGCAAGCTGACGACCTCACGGTTTTATCATCATACATTTTCCGAGAAATGAACATGGTAGACTCAAAGATGTGGTTTCACTCTGTGGAAGTAATTTTAATCGTGACAGGAAAGCCCCTGCAGCATCTTGACTCATCTTTTCCCCCACTGACAGGCTGTTTATTGGTTGAGCTAACCACTGATGTCATGGATGTAATAAAGGCAGCAGGCTAAGCAGAAGGTGTTTGGATAACATTTGAGTCTTGTGGCTAATTAGGGCTATGTTCATGAGCAGGGTATGTGAGGATGCTCCTCTGGATTAAGAGTCAGAATGCTGTTCCTCTTTTTACCATATCCATGCCCAGGGCTGTGACTTTTGCTGAATACATTCCAAGATGCAGAAGGTCTGCAGAGAGTGCACGCCTCCCTGTCAGGCATACCTAAGAACACAAGTGCATGAGCTTTGATTGGCCACATGTGGCAGTAATGGAGATCGAGAAGAAGGCAGGGGTTGTAATGTTTCAGAGCTGATCAACAGCCATGGGTTCAATTAGCTGTAGATAAGAGATGCCTGTATGGATCACTGCATCTAAACTAAACTCTACTTGAAAGTGTTTGGTTTATGATTTCATTCCTCCAGTAAGCAAGTCTAAGTTTAGACTGGCGAAATTGGTATGGTTACAGATTAATTTTGCACTGAGGAGCACCCCATAGGAATGTTGTTGGGCTTGTTCAAATAACCCAGCTCCCCAAGTTGACCAGACCTCTTACAACCTGCAGCCCATGCTTGCTTATGATGTTGATCCAAAATCTAAAGGTGTTTGCCGAACTAAGGTGCTTACAAAATTAGATGAAGCCATTGATCAGGTAATTTTCCCTGCTTAAACAGAATATCAAATAGACGCAGTAATGTTACTATGGGGACAATGGCTACAGAAAGATTAATGGAAGTGTAGAAGCTCCAGTAACCCACACAAGGGAAAATTAAACAAGCCCATTAGAAAGCACCTTTGTTCCCTCTCGTTGGATTTAATTGAGGGAATGATTCGAAATCAATCTGAAATTTCTTTGCAATTATCTAAATAAATACAAAATTGTTTTCCTAATCCTTTGTTGCAGCTTCTATAAAAACAAATACTTCTTCGAGCTTCATTGTTTGCTGAAGGATCAATATCTATTGAGGGAGGCTGTTTAAAACAGCTTTATGTGCACTTGACTGGGACACAGTGCAAAACTGTATAAGTAGAGTCAATATTGAATTAGACTGTCAACAATTCACAAGTATTGTTGTGGTGACAAGCCTAGCATACTATTGCTTTAAGTTCCTGTGTCATTGTAGAAAATTGATCTGATATTTGCTAAAGGCACATTCTCTGGGCACAGGTAAACACTGCACTGCAAATAGTGTTGTCAGATTGGTATTGGGCTCGGCACTGCAGGGAACAGAAAAAGGAGCAGTTGTAAAAAGCGGCCTCTTCTCATTTTCCGACAGCTGGGAGTTGCAAATGTGAATAGTTCTTTGGGGTCACGTCTCAATGAAGGCATCAACTATCTGGTTATCATGAACTGCTAATTGTTGAAAGAAGGCAAACTTGAAGGCTTCTAACTAATCTTTCAGTGTCTGTTTTCGTTATGCATACATTCATGTTTGCTCAACTGATTCCAAGAGGGGGAAGACTGGGGGAAGGGGGAGAGGAACCAAATTAACTTGGGGAGTACCTGGACCCATAATATGCTGTGAAAGCCACAGTCTGTGGGAGTACAGTGATGGTCAATTTATTGTCATTGATTTTCACCAAGAGTAATGTAGCTCTAAATTGAGCAAGCTGGGGTCATGTAGTATTGGTAATCTATTCAAGTCTATTGTTATTAAAGTGTTTAAACTGCACCAAAGCTAGTGTTGCATATCAAACATATTGAACCCACTAATCATAATAGTGTGGGGATATTGAATTCAAGTTGAACAAATACAACTTATGGTTCACTTTTGTGTGCCGTATTGATCCCTCAACAAACATTTTCATTCAGACCAGTGATATATCCTCATCTTCATAGAACGTCATTGCCACTTCAGTGAAAAGAAGTATGTAGATGTCACACAATGCATACAAAGTTTTTTTTTTAAAAAATCAAACATTTATCCAAATACCCATGCTATTTATCCTAACTGTCTAGAAAGGTTGCTATAATTAAGCCATTTGGTCTGTATCTTTTTCTCATAACAACCCTGACTAACTCACTGTGTGGCAATATATGTGACAAGTTGGAAAAATAAATTCTCCCTTCACTTTGGTTTGAAACCACTTCTTGGGTAAACACCCTAGACATCTCAAGAAGATGTCTGATACACAATCGACCTAAGTAAACATTCCCCAGAGCTCAGGTTTAAAAGGCACACCAATTGTACCAGCGGCTGCTTTGTTAACATCAATAATCGCAAGTAAAATTTGATTGGTGATAAAAGCACCTCTACAATTTCTGTCAGTGAAATTTATCACCCTTTTACTGAATAATCAAATCACTTGTCTGAAGATGTGTGCAGATTTAATTTTCCCCAACACATGAGGCCAGCTTCCTTCATGTATTGGATAGCCTTGAAGTTCATGAGTACATCCCTAATTACCAGTCATTTGGGAGACAGAAACTGTAGATAGTGAATTAGCAAAAAGCCATTCTATAGACTAGCTTGCAGGCCTGAAAACAAAACAACCACAAAATAATGTGAAAAAATACCATCTGCTTTGCTTAATGACTGGTACACCTCTTAAACTGATAATCATCAGTAATGAGTGCGACTAGAGGTGGGAGACCTCCAATAATCAGCCTAATCTGCCGTTGCCATGGGAACAAAATTCCATTAAGTTTTGATGAGGGAAGGGGGTCTTGTGGACTACAACTAGATGGCATTGTGTGTGAGTGTGTGTATGTAGCAGAGAATGTTGATCAATATTGATGATGAGTGTGGGGGATATTTGTTCTCTTGAAAGGATTGGCCAAATTACATCAAGCTGCACTTCCAACACTAATGTTTTCTTTATGTGAGATCAGGTTGGAATGTGAAGAACCCATGCTCTGCTCGGGGACAGTGGGCATTAAAAGGATGACCAGTAAATGGAGATTGATACAATTGCAAATGGAGATTTGGATGCAGTTACCACAGAAAAGACATTTGCATAGCAATGGCTCATTGTTTTGTCTTGCAGTGGAATATGACCCATCTCCAATTCCCTGAAGTAAATGGGAAACGGTTGAATTATCAGTTGTGGCAGCAAGCGCCTGATCTCATCATAACATGGGAGGCATCTGTCAGTTCCACAGTCGAACAACCAATCAGAATGCGGCACAGAATGGGTCAGCTGGGACGTGAACTATTATTGGATTTTTGTGAAATCCATTCCATAAACTTGTGATTTTGAATAACTCTCCCTAGAGCTATGACTTTTCTTATCCTTGATGCTGCAATTCCCAGGCCTTGAGACCCAATGGATGCTTGTCATCAATACAATGCCTAGCTCCGTCTCCCGAGGCTACTTCAACTTACTTCATCTCTACCCCGAGCAATTCATGTAAAATTTAATCAGTTTTAGTAAAGTACAATCAATGTTTGTGATTTTGAAGTGATGTCCCCTCTAGGGTTTGGTTCATATGCATAAATGATCTTTAATTAGAGATTCAGAAAGTCTCCAATCAAGTTAGCACCTCTAGAGGGTTCAGTCTGCTGCCACTACCACCACAAGATGCTGATTACCCAAGGCATGAGTCCATCAACAAGGCTCGTTGACCAGCTGTGGTTAACCAACCAACCTTTGGGTACCTTGGTTCTTAGGATATGTGGTTAACCTTCAAGGGTAGAAAACATGTATGACTCCCATCCTCATGCTTTTGCTTGTGGCTAGAAGCCCAAAAGGTGACTAGGCTCAGATGAGAACATAGAATGTTTGTCAAAGGGTAAAAAAAAGTAGATTCTGACAGATGTAAATATACATTATTGAGCTTTTTTTCACACTTTTATGCTCAAATATTTTGTTAAATTCTTATCAGATTGGCCTAACAGTATTGCTTTTCTGAAAAAAAATACATAGATTTTATCTGTTCTGTCCAATAATATGCCTTGGTTTCTAGTAGGCCTCTCCAATCAGGTTACTTACAGTGCTTAGAACTTAGACCATGTGAGATGATGTATGGGTCTGAAGGCAACAGAAACAGAGAATCATCTAGGGGGACAGTAAAATGAATTACATGTTACTGCTTGTTTGAAAGTTACTGCCGCTATTAGACTTGCAGATCTCGGAAGCAAATGGTGAGGGCTTAAATGATGTAGTGCAAGATGATTGGTGATTGTATTTCCCTTGGTGGGCTTTATTTGATGCTCCAGACCAGAAGTGTGATATCTCTTGCTGCTGGTATGGGAATCAAGTTCTAATGCAAAGCTGCCATCGTGACATTTGTGTGAGACAAGAAATGGAATTCAGAGTTGAATGAAATTATTTTTGCTGCCATTATAGGAATGGTTGTGAAGCATTGATTGACATTTTCAGTAACCTGGGCTGTCACATAACTTGTTAAAGAAAGAGAATTATGGAAAAAAGTCTGTCCTGTGAGAATTTGAAAAAAAAAAAGCTTATTTAAGTAGTGTCTCTTTCCTGCAAGTGATAGGACTAGGGATTTTCTTTCCTTTTGACTTCACAATGTGATTGGTTGGTTTTAATCAAGAGCTGAGTTTATGCAAAGTAGATGTTGAATGCAGATCTATAAAACCTGTTCTCTCTCAGTCCTGTACTGCTTATTAGACTCATTTTGTCCAGTAATGTTTATTCACAATTTTTATGACATCACTATTTTCAGGTTAACTCTTAGATATGGAATCTCGTGATAATTTGAGAAACAAGCAAATATGTCTGACGACTGATCTATTACTGAATGTCCATTGTTCCTGATTATTGGCATAAAGCACTGATTACTTCGGTGCTCCATCAGATTTGAAAATTAACCAGTCATTGTTGTTTTGTTTGCTTTTGATTGCTAACTGATCATTATTGTAAATGGGATTACCATTTCCTTGTTAAGATATAATTTTTATTTATGTTATAATTTATTCACTTTTTGAAGCCAAAGTAGATCAGTGAAATTCATTTCAGATAGTACAAACCATGTTATCATGTTATTGTTAACGAAGTGGATGCTGTGGTTTTCTCAGAGTTAATTTTGGTCTATTTTATATAATTTTTTTCCTAGACGGAGATTGCCAAGAGGCTGAATGCTATCCTGGCGCAAGTTATCCCGTTTCTGTCCCAGGAGGTAAGTTCCATGTCCTTCTGGCATAGTAAGATTCCGTCTTAAACTAAACAAATTTTAATTTGGCAAAGAAAAAGTGAAATGTTGGACTGTTTTACACCAAATCCATCACTGATTTTGTTCAGAATATTGATTTGGCTGAAATTGGCCAAGTATTTTCTAGAGTGAGCTGAAGAACTGGTGCTATACTTAAAGGAGGTATGCTACATCTGCTCAAAGGGATTTCTTCTTTAAGGGTTAATTTTTCAATCTGTTTTTTATCAGTTACTCAGTTCTGCTTATTGTGGGCAATTAAGCTGTTTGATGGTCATTTAACCCCCAACATAATCAAATTCAAGGCCAGCTGTCTGGGCCTCCATACTCTTTATTTGTGGACTGCTAAGTTAATAAGTATGCAGTATTTTGACATTGTTGATCTCAAGGTTTTCTGATTAAGATAAATATTAAAAAAAAGATTTGTAAATGTCTTATGAACTCTCATGAATTTAAATATTTGTTGCAATTTAAACTTGAGGTCAGACTTCAGAAGTGCAGTGTAGGTGCGTTATTAGAATTCTTGTTATTTATTAACAGCACATGTTCCTCCTTTCTTGTGGCTTGGTAACGATTGTGTTACACAAAAGGGAGGTTGCTGCACTGAACTGACTGCCTCCCTCCTGTACAGGAACCCTTCAAGTCTGGCCTGTACTGTGGCATGTGCACCTCTTCAACATTAACATACAAACCTTCTGCCATATGTCAGTGTGGTGAACCATGTTCTCCCTCTTAGGGGCTACATTCGCCCAAAGGGTACAACATAAAACACATAAATTCCAAACATGGGGAGGTTGATTTTATCCAAATTCAAAAGTGCCTGCCACCTTACACATGTCTCTTAGTGTTACAATTGAACAAATTATCTTTTGTTTATGTTGCTTTAACACAGGGCTTCCCAAGTCATGTCTGCAATGTTATTTCAAGTTTTCAGCTTTGCCGCACATGTATGTGTTGTTTTTTTTCCCTTCATTTTCCAGCACCAGCAACAGGTGGCAGCAGCAGTCGAGCGGGCCAAGCAGGTCACCATGGCAGAATTAAATGCTATCATAGGGGTAGGTGGTGACAAACACTTTTTGGTAAGTTGCATCAGGGCAGTATCACCCGTGTGTGGCGTAAAAAATTATTCTTCCTTGTTCTTCTTTCTGCCCCCCCCTCCCCAATCTTTCCTGTGACCCTATACTTCATTAGATTAAAAAAATCTGTTGTCATCAAACACATTATATTCTGATTTGCATGAATTCTTTCCTTGCCATCATTTCTGCATTTTTCCATTTTGAATAACAGAAACAATTTCCAAATGATGTTTAATTAATTTGGAGGGTTAACAGGTTTGGCACCCCATCCCCAAATTAAAAAAATAAAAGAAATTACATATTTTTTTATTATTGATAATGGGTACATTTTGAATAGCCTTGGATATAATATAGACAGTAGGAAATCTATCTTTCCTCATCAAAGTAGAAGCATCTCAGTATCTGTAAACAAAACAGTCTATGTACAGGCCTGATGCACCTTAATTATAGATATTTTCTTGTTACTACAGTTGTAGAGTTTAGTGCTAACAATCAGTAACTTAATATGCAGTGTACACACATAATGGTAGCTGTAGTGTAATAAATGTTATGAGGGACAAGGTCAGAATAGCTTTTAAAACCACCATCAGTATCACTTATTTGTCCATAATGTTGTATATCTGAGGAGAAGAGATCGGTTTCTGTTATGTGTTCCCCTAGAAATGTTGGGTAACACTTAAAGATCAACTAATGCAATTTGAAATACTATACAACTTTATTTTTATTGAAGTGTGTTTGCTACTAGCTTAAGAAGATCAATACTTGTATTTTTCACTCGTGTCAGTTAATTCTGATGTTAAGATGACCTTTGCTGTGGATTATTTTGGATAATTGTAGAAGAATTGATATTTATTTTTGCTGTGAGTTGAAAAAATTGTGGCCTAAAAATAAAAAAAGAACCTTACGTGTGTATATTTTGTTGGTTATCTGCATGCCATGTTGTGAAACCATTCAGAGTTACACGCTTATTCCAGCAACAGATGCAGGCCCAACATTTACCACACGCTCACGCCCCACCCCTGAGCAGCCTGCCCCCACCCCCAGCAGGGCTCCACCCAGGACTGCAGCCACCCCTGCCCCCCAGCAGCAGCGCGGGACTCCTGGCTCTCTCGGCCGCAGCACATCCATTATTAAAGGAAGAGAAACGTAAGTGACAGTTATGACAAGCAGATAAATATATAAGGTTATTTTTGCTAAGAAAATTATGATTTATTCTCTATATATTGTCTTAATCTATTATTTACAGAAAAACATTTTACATAAAAGAGCTGCACATAATTGCTTTGTTGAAAAAAATGATGATAATTGTGGTATTATTGCCATAGTGGGTTCATATTCATAGTGAACTTTGATTTCTTTTTAGCCCCAGCAAGTGAAGACAGACATGTAAGTTATCTGTGCTTGGTGTCATTATCACTTCTGCTAGTGTTGCATGACCGTGTTTAAACAGTTGGGTGTTGTTAGGAATTGAAGACCTGCATAAAAAATACATCAGTAAAATTCAGATATGATTTGGCGGAAAAGGGGGAAACCTCTAGAGTTACTCCTGGTATAATTAACAGGCATGTTTTGAAGTACAAACAATGGTGTGAAAGTAGCGTAATAGGTTGCCAAGCAGATCTTTTAGGAAGGCAGGTGTATTCTTTTGTCAGGGATGCAGAGATGGTGGGCTAATTCTATACAATGTTAATGATGGCTGTAATACACCACGGCAGACTGAATGTGTACATGTGTGTTGCGCGTGAGCTGTTGTTATGCATATTAACCACCATCAGTTTCTGATGAATGGTGGGTTTGCAGTGCATGCTTCACCAGGTAAACTGCCAGCCTGCCAGCCACTTGGCCTTGCTTCTTGTGTTCTGCCTGTCTAAATCCAGTGTCAAGGAACTTATCATTTAATTCTCATCCCCCCCCCTCCCCACCCCCCCCAACTTACCATGCCATCTGGTAATCTACCCTCCCATCTGAAGGGAATCAGCAGGCTGCCAAAGTTGAGGTCTGTTGAAGTAATTTTAATCATTTAGCAGAAAATTATATTTCTTTTACTCTGTTCCTGTTGAAAATACATGCCATCTGTGTCTTTGTTAATGTTTTTGAAATTGGAAACAAGGTATATAAGGTGCCTCAAAAATGTTTTGACTTTAAAATTGAGCTGACTACCCATTAAGAAACATACTGTGAAAGCCAGTTTTGTCATTTATATACATAAATAATATACATATGCTTTATAGGTATTAACATCTTTGTGGTCATTATTAGATTATATATGTACAGTAGAACTGAAATGAAAAAAGACACTCAAGTAGGAGGCATACATAGTTTTGTGGTTAGGGGTGGGAGCTTAGCTGGAACTGTTATTATAGTCTGTGGTTAAGCACTGTGGGGATAGGCGACCCTGTTTTCCATTACTGGAATGAGGTAATGCTTCAGGTATGCCTTCTTTGTATGAAAGTTAATCTGTCCATGGTTTTGGTTTGCTCAATGGGGTATTGATAGCAGTAGTCATAAGGTGGTCTCTGTCTGCCTCAGCAGGGAACAACAGTTTAAATGAAATACAAGTTTTTCACATATTTCCTGCCACCTACTAAGATGATTGCTGCATGATAATTATTTACTGAATTTTCTTTCAAGTACCTGGTTTTTGGCAGCTTTCTTTTCCCCCCAACCCCAGCCCCAACTCTTCTCTCCCCTTCGCTCCACTCCAGTGTGCACCTTTCCTTGTCGAGCTGTGGATTGTTATTAAAGAAGTGTCTATTTTTCCCTTGGCTACCTCCAACTATTTGCGTATGTATATGTACCTGAATGGTGTCATCTGTGCTCCTGTTCCCAGTCAGCGAGGCACAAAGGATGACGTTTTGTGCAGAGGGGCACAGATTATTTGCAGGTCAGTGCCCGTGTTGGGTTTTGATGAATAAGTTTGTTTCTGTGGAGGGGGTAATTGATGATGGGGCTATTCATACATCCACATTATTCTCAAAAGCAAGTGTCGGATTATGCGCCACAATAGGCAAGAAGTAGGAGAGTAAATATAGTGTGTTTGTGAATTATTTGTTAAAGACGTATAAAATTTTCATGCATTCCATGCCCGAGTAAATTGGCCAATTTTTCTGCCAGCTTGCTACAAATGAATAACGGGGACCTTTTCAAACAGACTGAGTGGTTGCAACTCTGTGCACACAAAAGGTTCGAATTTCTTTGTATGATAAACACCCAGCTTTGTTTGCTCTTAGAGAGTTGGATGGGTTGACGAGGCTATTTTATGTGTACACCATGTCAGTCAGTTAAACAATTGTTGACATGGCATAACTAACAAAAGGTACTTAGATGAAACGATAATCTAGCTGTATTTGCTGTGGCTGAGAAGTAATGCCCAAAAGCTGTTTACTGTAAACTCCATGTATAAGAAAGTGGTTTTATAGATTCTGAGTCACAAGGGCTGCTAAATCAACTCTAATTAAAATTAAAAATACATTGAACAATTCACCATTATTTTTTCTCATAGATCCAGAACATTGGAGTTTTTTCTCCATTGTGTCAGTGGCCCCTGTTTCCATTGTCGGTGCAGTTTGATAAAGCTACCTGATCTGTTGACCAAATCTACGAAGGTTTAACAGAATTAGTGCCCTGGACTCAGTCAGTAATCAGTTAATATTATAAAGTCCAGGTAGATTGGGTCGGAATTGTATCAACACGTCTGCCTGGTTCTATTGACACACCTCTCTATTTACATAGAAATTTTAGCACATCAAATAAGCTGCTTAGAGGAGTCTGTTTGCTCTGCCCTAGTGTATGCACATTGCTCAATGGCATGACTTAGGCCATGGATATAGTGGATATGGGGTCTGTTTACTGAGGGGATTTTGTCGGCCTGTGTATCTGGTTAATAAAATTACCTGTATGTCGAGAAGCTGGGTGTTCAGGTGATAAGAATGTTGATGTAACCCCTTGTTGGTGAGGTGTTGTGGACATGACAAATAGAATGGTTAGAACAACAATCCTGGTCCTTGGTAGATGTTTTGCTGCTTGTGCGTGAAGGAAAAAAACAGACTCATCTGTAGGTTGATGTGGAGGACAAACCTGCATGAACCTAAAGCATAGAATGGTTATTATTGTTGGTATCTATGTTGTCATATGTGTCATCCTTTTGTGTTGAATAAGAAGACTTATTTGGTTGAAATGAAATATGATCACATCCTTTCATTAAATGGGGAGTCATTTTACAGTGCTAAAAAAACAAAAACAAAAGAAACATGTGGAAAAACTTTGGAACTCCAGAGAATTGTTTGTTTACATTCATTTAATTAAGACATTTTATTATTATGATCAGTAAATATATATAGTACATATGGGTTAATGCTCTCTGTAAGTGTATTTAGAATTGATAATTCAGATCGAGATTTTCTTCACAGGACAGTGCCCCTATTATCTCAGAAAAAAAAAGAACCTAATTGAGCTTGGTTCTTTAAAATTAACAATCCCCTGGCATTTTGAAGACACTATTTTGCTCTCTACTTGAATTACGCTGGGTGCCGTGCTTGACTTCACATATTGATAGGAGCTTGAAATTACTGTTCTGTTGATTTCCCACGATTCACAGAAGCACCCAGGGAGGCGGACCGTTACAAGGAAGTGAGCTGTAATTGACAGCCAGTTCCCTTTCTTCTTTCACACTCCCCAGACTTCGGCTGCTGCCATTAAACTAATTATATCTCAATAGGACATGTGTGTGCAACCAGCCTGTAATTTTCAAACTGATATGATTACCAGCAAATAGCAGTTATGTGGCCTGCACTTAGGGATTCAGGTAAATGTGGTTGTCAGAGAGTATTATCATCTATTATTGACTCTCATCTCCAACTTCTATGGTACTAAATGAATTATCTGATCAGGCGAGATCATAATAATATATACCAATGGAGAGGTATCCCAGTGCATGGCTTGCTACTGAAAGTGTTTAATTTAGCTTATTCATTCACTTGAAATTCATGGTCGAGGGGGAGGAGCTAACACGTGACGAGCAGCTACTGAACAGATGGTGATGATTGTTTAATATGCAGCTTTTTATTTTCAAAAATATTAATTATTTGAGACTTTGATAAGTTTCTGTTTTGCTTGATCACAAATTTTCATTAATGCCCAACTCAACCCCAGAGAAGGGGAAGAGGACACTGAAATATTCTTGCTTGTAATTGACTTTGAAAAGGTTCATTTGATTAGCAGTGACTGATAGTAGATGAGACAACAGCTGTTCAGTGATTCACAGCTTCAGAAAATGAATTCACAATGCTTTGTCTCCTCACTGTCCCCTAGAATAAATTGGCCCTCATAAAGGCTATTACTTTCTCTTTCAGTCTTTGATTGGTTTGGTGTATGCGAGTGTGACATGGATATTTGTCTGTACTCAGATCATTCCTTCCATCGACTGGCAGAAGTCATAATTTCCACATAGTGTGAGTTATTGGAAAATTATGAAGTCTACCCAGAAAGTAAAATGGATTGAAGCAAGTTTACTGTCCCTTGGGTCTTTCCTTCTCTATTGTTCAGGAACTAATATATCATTATCAAGAATAATGCGGACTTGTGAGGCAGACAGTAGGCCAAAACAATCTAACCACTGGGAAATTAAAGAGTGCCTCATTAGGGAGATGTGTGTACTTACTGAAGTCACATTGTGATAGCATTCATTCTCGACTTCTAAGGTCCCTGAAGGAAAGTGCTGAGAAAATGCATTCGATTTTGCTAAGGTTGTGGGTATCACCTATCAGATCTGAGAGTGTCTAGGAATGACTTACAGTTGTGATGCAATCTGTGCATTGATGGGGTATTTGTGTGGTGATATGCACAGTATTCATTTTCCTCAAAGCTTTTTTTATGGTCTGCTATTTTTATGAATGAGTTTATTTTTGTTTAGTTTCAAGGCCCTCTCTGAAAATTATTACCTGCAGTTATGCAATGCCCATTTTTCCATGGCATTTACTAATTTTTTATTAACACTTATTTTGGTTTAATTTGATTTTCACACCCTTATCTTATTTTAAAAATGTACCTGATGTCAGCTGATGATGGAAAGATGGTTTGCTTTGTTTGATGAATGTGAAATTTTTACAACGTTTTTTATATGAAATAATTGAGCTCTGTAGGTATCACTTAATGTTAAAGGTTTTTTACTTGGAAATGTTGAAAGAAAATATTAACAAAGAAAGTACCAGTAGCCCTTCTTCTGAAACAGTTCTTGTTTATATGAAAAAGCAATCTATGGTAATTTAGGTTGGCCAGCGTGCCATATTCCACCTTCTCTGTACAGAGATAATCTCCTGCAAACAGCTGCATATACTTGTTGTGTTGGTGCAGGCAGTATTAATCATGTGCAAGCATGTGTTACAAGCAAGAAAAAAGCATGCGCCTTTATTTGCCAGACACTTGCCCATTTACCGAGCTAGCAAAGGTCAAAAGTAAACTCTAAAACAAGTTCCAGCCCAGTGCATTTGCAGGTGAATTAGAAGGAAATGTGCAGTTTGAGTGATGTATCAATTTTTGTTTGGCATTTGCTTTTAGCTCAGCAGCATGAAAATGATCAGAGAATGGAGAAAGTCAAAGAGCTTGCCGCAGTGCCAATTTATTCTAAAGGTCTATCGTCTCAAGTATCTTGTGAGATATCGCAGGATAGGAGAATTAGGCAGCAGAGAGTGTGAAGAGGAGTGTTGATTACTGGCAGGAGAGCTATCTCACCTGCACACACAGGTATCACACACACTCACCTGCCCATCCTGAACAAATCACCACAACATACATCTCATCAGCCAAGCCACACAATAGCATGATTAACCACAGCAAAAGGAAACGGCAGACTCTGCTGGCCTAATTAATATGCTAACAGAGCGCAACTGAGATGGAGTTGAGATACAAAGCAAATTGCAGAATAAATGCATCTTTTCCTAAAAGCTTTCCTCATTGACGAGGGTTCTTTGTGCATGAAAGGACAGAGTAAAAGAGAGCCTGGAATGGTGATATTGGAAATGGTATTTCATGATTGATAGCCTGGGTTTAAGGGCGTGTATTTCTGAGACATTATTCTTGTTAGTCCAAGCACATCAGTTTGCGGCTGATGCAGTAATCAAGGAGTATGGATATCAAATGTGGTAGATTTCCAGAGCAGATCATCCTGTAATCTGATAGGAATCACATTATCATAAACAATGTAGTAGTGTGTAAGATGTGATTTATTTATCTAATGTAAACCATTTACTAGATTTTGTATTCTGTGTGACTGTCGCCAATATAGCAGAACCTCCTGACCTCAAATATAGAACAAGACGCCTGCATTCTGCCTAGGGCGCCATCTTTCTGTCAACCCCGGGAAATAATTGTATATAAATATTGTATATTCCAGTGTATATTCCAGTGGTTAGGAAGTGTTTATTGTATCCAAGATATTCAATTTTTGGTAATTGTCTGACTTGTCATTTGTCTGATTTAAAAATATTGGAGTAAAACAAGTAACCTAAGCTTTTGGCATTAAATGCATTTTTATAGATCTCTAAATTGTGTAGATTTATTTGATGATCTTCTATTTTCAGAGAAATTCTGCTTCCCCAAGTGACAGAGATAAGTATCGCAACCGCAGCATCTCTCCAGATAGACATGAGTCAAAGAAAAGAAGAACTACAGAGGATAAAGGAAACGTAAGTTTGCCTTTATTGCCTCATCATTCTCTAGTGTCATTTTTATTATATTCGTTTTTATGTCATGTGTTTGTCTAAATAACGTAAGCAATAAACATGGGGCATCATGTGCTCTCTCCACTAGCGCATTGTAGTTCCTAAGAGTCAGTGGTGAGTTTTATATACTACAGTAGTATATATTATTGTCCAGAAGACCGACATTTATCCAGATACATTGTTTGGTACATTTCAAATGAAGCTGTGGCTGATTTTTATGAAAATTATGTAATTAGTGTTTAGTCCCTTAACAAAGTTAAGAGAAGCCTTAATGCGCAATTTAGAGGTAAAGTAGATTAAATTATTAGCTGTTGCTTGCATCTATTGTTCTCTCTTCCAGGAAAGTGATGGTGACAAGAGTGATCAGGATTTAGTTGTGGATGTTGCAAATGAGGTAAAGATAGACTCAAATTCATCAATTCTAATACATATGTAATGTGAGAAACTGGTTTCCAGTAACATTGGCAGATAGATTCAAATAGTCATTTTCATTAACAGCCCTTATCTTCCAATGGAGGATAATCATGTTGTCATAGAGAAAATTTTAAGTCCATTTTTGATAACTTTTTTTGATCAGTGATAGCTGTTCAGTAAGTTTATGTATTGATCAGTGATAACTATTCAGTTATTTTGTACATTACAAAAATGGATGACAAAAAAAATTATTTTTTGTTCATACTATATCAGACAGAACACAGTGAGAAGGAGATAATAAAAGTTGATTGTATATCTGTTTGTGTACAGGATCCAGTATCGCCCCTGAATGGGAAGAGGTCCCCACGTGAGAATGGGCCAGACAAGCCCCACAAGGACCCGAGCCAGGGAAGTCCTCACAGTGATGCCTCCTCACATGCCAGCACGTCATCCTCAAAGCACAAAGATCAGGTATAAACTGGTCCAAATAATTGCTTAATTTCAATATATGAGCTGGAGGTCATGTTATGAAAAAAAAATTTTTTTTGAAATGTTTTTACTTTTTGTTTGTGAATGTTGCTGATGCTAATTAGCACCTGAATTTAATAAAAATGTCCCAGATCACATTTTTATTAGGATTATTTACCAAGGGTTATTGAAATTTATTGGTTAAATATAAAGAGAAGATTACCCTAGGTGTGGTCTTCACTTCACCACAACAGTTGGCAGGTTGGAACACATTGTGTTGTAAGCATTAAGAAGCCAAAAGCAAAATATTCGCTAGACCTTGTGACAAACTGGTGTTACCCTCTGTGGCAGGCTTGATGATTGATAGATTTTTATAGAAGCAGAACTGGAGTGCTTAATTCCCTTGTCCTTAGTGCTCTCTTTTCTTCACCTTAGTGGAATTCATTAAGAAACATGTGGTCTGATAAAAAAGGAGCTATTTAAAGTGTACAGTAATGGCTTGATCTTTTTAATGGGGAAAATTATCAATCTTTCTGATAGATAAATCATTGAAAATGCATTTCTATATGGCATTTGTGGCCCTTTTGCTGTATAGAGCACAGCTACAGAGTAGCCTGCCATTCAGTTTTGTTGCTATCTCTCATAAGGAATCTTCTAATTTTAAAAATTTATGACTTTAAAATATGTGGTATCTGTAAAATTCACAATTTTCCCCTGTTGAAAATATCTAGTCATTACAGTAGTTTTATAGCACAAATGTGACAGCATGAAAGTTTCAGAGCTGCAAATTAGTTATTGAGCAGTAGGGTTGGTTTCCTGAGTGAAGAACATTCACAGGCTTTCTACCATGTCTTTCTGGGTGACATATGATGTTAATGACTTTGCAGCCAAGAGAAAACTCTTCATGTGGGAAGTTATGAGTGTAGAGATATCAATTATTTAGCTGAACTGGTCACATCAAAGGTAGATAACCTTTTCAGTCAGCTAAATTGAAAAGAAAAAACACTAGCTTGTGTGTTGTCAGGTCTTTAGTGAAAGAAAGGCATGTTACAAGAAAAAATGTTCTGGTTGGTGTGCAGCATTAATGTTGTTGTCAGCAAGCACAGCTGGGCATTGCCTGACAAGAGAGTTGCCCTTACTTTAAACCTATGCATTAAATTTGATGTCTGTCAACATGGAGGATTGCAGATCTGAGCTTGTTAGCATTTAATGGTCGTAGAACTCTACTCACAGACAGCCAATCAGAGCCGACTCCCTTGTACCAGTAACTGCCAGCTAGGTTGAATTATCCATTAGAACAATTCATTTATTACCGAGTGCATGATGTGCTAGGTTCCCATTAGTGTTGTTAAATGTACCTCTTGTATTTATGTGGGGGATGTGACTTGCACAATAAAGCAATGGAATTTATTGTGAATTATAGGCCTTGTCAATCTTTCCCTTGTGGTTTGTTCCAAAGCTGTTTGAAAGAATAGGATTGGAAGTGGGCTATTAATACTGACTAGATCTTGTCGCTATTGTTTCAGCAACATGAAAAGCCAAGCACCCCAGTTTCCAAAGCAGCAACTCCAACAAGCTCTGGCAGTGCTACCCCAGGCCCTTCCAGTGGTGGACTTAAACCTGTGGCCAAGCCTCCTCTGGGTATGGGTTCAAGCTACATAAAATGTCTGAGTAGTAGTAAATTATGGTTCAAATTAAATTCATATTTGATACGAATTAGGTCATACAAGAAATTCGTTGAATTTTTTAATAAGAAAAAAGTCTAAGAGTGGTATTTTGAATTTTATATATTAAAGTGTCTCTCCGGTATACTTGACTCCATGTGTGTGTTCCAGTCTGTTCTTTTCTGTTCTGTGCTCTTGACCTTTTCTCTTCATCTCACTTCACTTCAGTGTGTCATTTATTGATGGTTATGCTATTTCCACACTTTTCACTCACTTTGTTGAGTGATGTATTTTCTGTTCTGTCCTTCCCTTGTAGTTGCCTCTGCTTTACGCACCCCGATTTCCTCCATGTCAGGTCCGTATCCATTCATGCCCCACGGGGTGCCCCACAGTCTGGCAGCAGCGGCCGAGCTGAGCCCCGCAGCGGCAGCCTACAGCACCAGCATGCTGGCGGCACACAACAATATCTCTCCTAGCTCACTCAATAACTACCCCAGACCTCTGGTGAGTAGTCCAGGAACTGCTGACCGCCTTGCCGCTGTAAGATATGCATTCAGTTTATTTTTTGTTAAAGTTGATTTTAAAGTTAACAGTTAAACATGTTGGTGATATTAGTAATCGTGCTTCAAGAGAACAGTTGCATTGAATTTTTTAGACATATTTGATAACTTTGATAAGAGTATCACATATTGCTTATATATCAATGTTCTAAAACCAGAATATGTAAAAATGACATTCATTTAGTCTTTGGTTATGTAGAAGTGAAGTTTAAAAATACTGTTAACATCACACAAAATCTTCATTGCACACAAGATTGTTTGCTGCATTTGTTATTAAAGAGGTTCCTCATGTATTGTTATAGGTTGGGTTTGATCCACATGCCCATATGAGAGCCCCATCTCTGGGTATACCTGGAGGGAAGCCGTAAGTAAAATAGAAATTTGTCAAAACACTCACTGATTTGTACTGAATACAAAAACATTGAACGAAAACATTGTTTTAGACAAAGCAAAAGTGAAAACTGAATTTCCTTGTTCCATGCAACTGTTTGTGCATCCTGTCTAGTTTTATTATGCTTGGAGGTAAACACAGTAAAAGTGAATTTTTATGCTCAGTATTTAAACATTTCAGGGGGTTTGCATTCCTATTTTTACAGTGAGATTTACAGTAAGTTGCTCATAAGTAGTTGTAAGAACAAATGCTTGTTTTTTCAGAGCATATTCCTTTCACGTGAGCGCAGACGGCACCATGCAACCCGTGCCCTTTCCACCAGATGCCCTTATTGGTCCAGGAATCCCTCGCCATGCCCGGCAGATCAATACCCTGAACCATGGAGAAGTGGTGTGCGCAGTCACAATCAGCAACCCAACAAGACACGTCTATACAGGAGGAAAGGTCGGTGAGCTAAGTTTGCCATATCCTTAGCTCATTTTTTTTAATGTTGAGGTTGAGCATATGAGTCTATGTAAGAAAATTCCAGAAATTTTAATTCTAAATTGAAATGTTATCTTGTTTGATTGAAACATTATTTCTGGATCTGTTTGTGCAATTGCACAGAATAGAAGTGGCACCTGAGTAAACATATTTTAAAGAAGGTTAAAATTCATTCCTAGCTTGCTGTGTGGATAAGTGAATTTTAATAAAAAGTGGAAGAAATTCAATGCTTACCTATGATTATTTTTCCACAACTAAATAACAGTTAAATTTTTTCAGTTATTTCATTTTAATCCTTTCCACCCGTTTTTCAAATACAGTGTAATAATTTCATTATATGATTTTGACAGGGATGTGTGAAAGTTTGGGACATAAGTCAACCAGGGAACAAGAGCCCAGTTTCCCAGTTGGATTGCCTGGTAAGTGAAAACAAAAGCATTTTTTTGTCTTTAAACTGAGTTTATATAGGAAAATAATTTTATAATACTTAATTAACTTTACATGCTCATGACAAAAAGTATGTGAAATAATTTGTATTATAAAATTATTTGATTTAAATTATTGAAAAGCTGAAGTTTTTCAGATTTATTCCTTTAATGTGATAGTTGCATATGAAAGTCATTAGAACTGATGAAACTGTTTTTGTTGTTTTTCATATATCTTCTGCCACTGGCTTCATCTTCTATTTGCTTCTCTTGCTCTTTTTCCCCCTTTTCCACTCCCTGAAGAGTTGTTTTGCATCTTTTCTCACCTTTTGGGGTTGGCTTTTATTTTTATAGCCACGTGACAACTACATCCGCTCTGTGCGGCTCCTCCATGACGGCCATACCTTAGTCGTTGGTGGAGAAGCTTCAACTCTCACCATTTGGGACTTGGCCGCTGTAAGTCTCTTCCTTTTTTGTATAAATTCCCCCTTAGACAACTCCCTTGTAACATGTCCTGTACTTTTCAGCAACGGGACAACTATATTCGCTCAATCAAACTGCTAAAAGATGGTAGGACACTGATAGTTGGAGGGGAAGCCAGTACATTGTCAATATGGGATCTTGCTGCAGTGAGTGGTGTTGTGTGATCTCAGAACCAAAGAAAGTTATCAGAGATATATATCTTGATATTTAAAAAATGATCCAAGACTGGCTTGACAGGAGAAGAATAGGTTTATTACCATTTTTTAAGTTTCACAGAAAAAAAGAATGTTTATCAAAAATGTAAGACATTATATTTTTAAAAGCACAAAAAATGAGGCCCTTCACATTTAGCTTGACACTTCACACATTAGTAGTATTTCACTGAATATACGAGATAGAGATCGAGATCCATTTCTTCATTTTTTTTTTCTTTACACTTTACATTTTCTTCCAGCCTACTCCTCGTATTAAAGCTGAGCTGACCTCCAGTGCCCCAGCATGCTACGCGCTTGCCATAAGCCCAGACTCCAAGGTGTGCTTTAGCTGCTGCAGTGACGGCAACATTGCTGTCTGGGACCTCCATAATCAAACGCTAGTCAGGTATGTAGTCATGTTTTTATTGTAGGCACAGGATTTTACTTAATTGAATTCTGTCTCCATTGTTTTCTGTCATTAACAATTACTATTACTTTCCAACAGTTTTTGTGTAATTCCAAACTTAATCTTTTCTTCACTTTTCTGAATCCAAATTATCAGTTGTATGCATTCTTTGCCTTTCTGGTTGGTGAAAAAAGTGTTTATGTATAGGCCAATTTAAATTTTACAAGGCTGTTACAGGCGTTTGAAAGAAATGTAAGCACGTTATTGAAAAAAATTCAACAAGATTTAAGAATTCAGAAATTTAATTTCTCAAAGATATTAGATTTCTTAACCTCATGGTTTTCATGAAGTGAATTAGTTTTGTTGAGAACATTACCCAATTATAAACTCTTAAAACCCTTCTACTCAGGTGGGTCTTTAAAATGTTTTTTTTTAATACAAGCATAATAAGATCAAAGTATAATTCCAAATAAATTTTCATTGTAGACAATTTCAAGGGCACACAGATGGCGCTAGTTGTATAGACATCTCCCCAGATGGCACAAAACTGTGGACAGGAGGATTGGACAATACTGTTCGCTCATGGGACCTCAGAGAGGGTCGCCAGTTGCAACAACATGACTTTACTTCCCAGATCTTTTCTCTGGGCTACTGTCCTACTGGAGAATGGCTGGCTGTGGGGATGGAGAGTAGTAATGTGGAAGTGCTACATCATTCTAAGCCAGACAAGTATCAGCTGCATCTTCATGAGAGTTGTGTGTTGTCACTGAAGTTTGCATATTGTGGGAAGTGGTTTGTGAGCACAGGAAAAGATAACCTGCTGAATGCTTGGAGGACACCATATGGTGCTAGCATATTCCAGGTAAGGTGGATCACTTGGAGGCAGTATTGCATATTTACTTTTGATTTAACTGTAATTGGCCAATTTTAAAGAAAAGAAGGGTCAATCAATAAAATGTGAGAATAAAGTGGGCAGTGGGTGGCAATTTTATGCCAGAACTTGGCATCCACAATGCCACTGATGAAAAATTGGCAACAAGTATGACTTTTTGTAAAATGTGGCCTAAAAATCCATTCAATCTCATATTTTTTTGCTGTTTTAGTCATTCTGTCATATGTTGAAATTGAAAAGCTTGTTTGTCAAGGGGGTATAAGAATTTTGTTCGGGTAGGGTGGAAAAGAGGTTCTGCCTTATTCAGAATTGCTGTTCAAATTCCTTATTGATTTTTTTTAAATGTATATAAAAAGTAGAAGTGTTTTGTCAATTATATTAGTTAAATTGAAAAGACAAATTCAGTACTTAATAACAGAAGTAAAATTCATAAAGTGGATACAATTTGAAAATTTCTAATATTTTTCTCTCTTTTCATTTTAGTCCAAGGAGTCCTCTTCTGTTCTCAGTTGTGACATATCTGCAGATGACAAGTATATTGTTACTGGATCAGGTGATAAAAAAGCAACACTCTACGAAGTCATATTTTAAGACTGGATGTAACAGAGCTCAGATGAGCATAAAGTTAACTGTAATGCCAGAGTGTGATGCATGTTAAACATCTGCTGCAGAATGTAGGACATCATTGGTACTCGATGCTCTATTAAATTGCTTTGGTTTAATTAAGCGAATACAAGCCTAAAAACCCCAGGGACAGGCTAATGTAAAAACATCAAATAAGTGATGAACGTTTGAACCAGTCTTTGCATTGAAAGAAAAATTGACTCAACTAAGGATGATGTCCCAAGCAGATTTTCCTGAAGCTTTGGTGCCAGACAAGCCATTTTAATTGCTGTTAAAAGTGTAAATACAAAAGAGGAAGAGCAGAGGGGCTTACAGATTATTTTAGGGCTGATTAATATTGAGTCAAGTGCAACAAGTATCCCAATAACTGTGTATATTATCTTAAAGTAAATTAAAGTACATCCTTTACTTATTGTTTCTTACAAAGAACCTAGTTAACAATGTAGCATATATGATAATCAGGTGACCAAATGTAACTAAACATACACGAGGTGTTACATGTTGGAACGAAACTCTTCACATAATACTTTATACCTTTAATGTATTGCAAGTTTTATCTTTTGGGAGTAAGAGCACTTGGTTGCTTAGCATTGCAATATGCCTTTCAGCTGTTGTGTTGTCATGACAGCATATTGTGAACACGGTAAATGGTAGATGTTAGCATTGTAAATAAGTGATCTTCAAAAGATCTGGTTTCGCCTCCCACCCCTCCCCTTGCTTTGTTTGTTGCCAGGCATGCAGCATGCGAAGTGATCTCTAATATCATTCCCATTTTTGTGTGTTACAGTATTTATAAATGTCCTTTTCTTGGGAATTTTTCTGGGGCATTTAAGAAGTTGCTCATAGCATTGCAGTGTGTAAAGCTTTTTTTGAAATACTACCTGTGTGTTGTACAAATAAATTGGCAGCTTAGAGTAGAGAAGTCGAGATAAAATTTGAGTTTAATTGCTCACCACATTAACTTAGCTCGAGTGTCCCAGGTTTTCTTTTTATTTGCAAAAAGTTCAAGTAGTTTAAATTTCTGGAATTTTAGCTCTCAGGGAATGAAAGTACAGTGGATACAGTGTACGTTATTTTCTGCTGCATGCCCTCATTGTAAATTTGTGTAATATATATGAGATTTCTATTACGAGTATGGTTTCAACAAGCCAATGTGACCTCTTTGTTTTTTAAAGTAGGGTAAAACACTTGTGAACTACTGTACAGAGAATGACTGTGTATTTTTTCTCTTTGCAAAATAAACTATGAAAGTTTACTGCATAAAGCCTTTTATTTTCCCTTTTGTGCCAGAAGTACATCAGCATGTTGTAAACTAATGTAAATAGATGTCAGCCAGCAATTTACACATTTGCTAGCATGCTTTATTTTGGTGAACTGGATATTCTATATTTAAACCAAAAAAGTGGCAGTAATTAACTCCAGTGGAAGTGGTCCAATGGAAATCGTCCAAGATATCGACTATCTGCATTGCATGATGTCATACAAGACTTGAAAACGTGCAAGAATCTGCATGAGGTGGGGTTAACCTTTTAGCAATAATAATGAAATTACATGCACAGGCATGTTGTCTTGGGAAGCAATACAAAAGTAACATGCAAAACATGGGCAATATCACATGTACTGTAGTGCAAAAGACTCGTATGGCAAAACTAGATAAAATGACAAGAAAAGTATTTGGAAAAATTCTGTCAATATTTACCTCTAAACTCACCACACTTATTAGTCTGTTATTATATAAAACCCACTATATCCAAATCCCGCAGAATCTCGCTTGATTTCACATTAAGGCATGATATTTTGTTTTTATATAATATTCAGAAATTAAACCACATGCTATATCAAGCATCAATTACACCTTAAGTTCAACCTGATAGTAAGTTAAATCACCTTTGGTTGTAATATCTAGAAAAGCAAAATATTATAACATTTGTTATCTTTCCTTAAAGGGCCAACTATAAGTTACCAATTATTACTATTACTGTGCAAGTGATTTGGTTACAGCAGCTTGAATAAAAGAATCAAAATCAACCCTGCATGCCTGTGACACTTCCCTGAGTGAATCTGAATCTGTTACCCTGTAAATATCAATACTAAATAAATCTGTTGGATGTTGAATTTATGCAACTTTGGTTTGCTTTTTAACTTAATGGAAATGAATAGGCAGTACACTTTTATCAGTTCCATGCATCCCAAGACTTAAAGAAGACATCCATCCTCAGAAACCGACCTGGCCTTGTGGTCAGTATTCATTTTTCAGAGCAAAGATGTGGGTTCCACCCATTAAAGGACATACCAGTCCTTCATAAACGGTACCTACTGTCTCCCTACTTGGCACTAAGCAATAAGGCGCTGAAGTAGGGATAAAGTTCCTGGTCTGGCAGTGAAAGATATTGCTTGTTTGCAGGCTTTTTTGCATCTCAGATGACAGCTGGGCTACACCCAGTGTGTATCACAACCAAAAGCTTTGCATGCTCTGAGATGCATGCGTAGTCTGGTAAAAACAAAAACCAAACTTTACTGATACTTCCAAAATAAAAAACTTACAAAGTCATAGACATAGTGTGAATAACTTCCATTTGACAGTTGATTCGGCATTCAGTTAGTGCCAAGCATTAGTGAATTGACTCCCCTCTATAACCACCATGTCTGAAGTAGCATTGTAAGCTGCACTTGGACTTCTGGAGACAGATTCCTCTATCAGTGCTGCATGGTCCTATACACAAGCCACATCTTCACACAGCTTGAATAGCATGGAGTTTGGATAAATAATATTCATTACCAGTTCTCCTTCATTTGTCTTCCATTGCTTTCAGGAGAGTGGCCAGTACTTCATCTTTAGTGAGAGCTGAAGAAGCTGAGAGGGCCAGACTTTTGTTCCTGGACTTAGCTCCCTGTAATGAGACAACCATAGAATCTAAGAAGTTATCAATAAACTTGGATGTGATTTTGTAAAAAAAAAAAAAAAGGGGGGGGGGGGGGGGGAGAAAAAAAACACAATAAATGAAAACCACCTTTATCTTAATAAATATGATATTTCATATTAATGCTACTGGAAAGGTAAAGCTAAGAAATGAGTGGTTCAGTTTCTCATGGCACAGGAGCTACAAAAAGCCATCTTTGCATGCATGGTCTCCTACTACAATAGTTACCCATGGTAAACACAAGATATGTTAGTATCAGTGTTAGAAATTAACCCTGGACTGTCTGCCCGGGGCTGACAACTTTCAGAATGGGCTGAGAAGTTTTCCCACCCGGCAGACATTCGAGCCAGCTACTTTTCAAGATGGCTGAACTTTCAGTCCAGCAACTAATTTTCCCAAGAGGCAAACACTGGTTAGTATTAACAATCTTACTCAGTCACAGCAGTTAACACTGAGGTATTAGGTAATGTGTTAATATACCTTGTCCAGTGAGACATCGGACTTTCGTATCTGAAGTAATTTAGCAATGTATTTGGTTAACTCCACATTTGCTTCCCCATCAACGGGTGGTGCTGCAATCTGGACGCAAATGCCTTCCTCTGAAATATCTGACAAATTGAGAAACATCAAGTGAAAAAATGTTTATAATATGGCAAAATATGTACAGAAGGCATAGTAGTATCTTGTATTTACATTATTGTTACTGAAATATCAAAAGTAAAACCTAATAGTTATAGAGTAAGCTAAATGTAATTTGAACTTCACCTGTTATGGCATTCTGTTTGGCACCTGGCTTGGCCATAATTCTTATAGTGACATTTCCATCTTTATTTTGTGTTACAGCCATTTCTTCTTTTGAGGGTTTTGGTCCACTTTCCTGGAAAATTATGAAAGGGGCACTTCACGTATTGATTAAAATATAAACAGTGCATCAATTACCATGTGTCGCATAATCATTTTCTCAGTGCATCAAGGACTTGCCTCAGGTAGAGGCACAATGTTAATTCAATTAATAATGGGAAGTTTTAAATCAAAATCAAACTTAAACGTCAAACTAAATTCCGGGACCGGAGATATATTTCCTGTTTAAGGTCTAACTCTGCCTCTACCTTGTACGAATTAAACATTATTTGCTGACCGATTATACCGTTGTCCCAGTTTTCTGCGTAGCATGCTAGGCCCAAAACTGAAATAAACTAGTATCACCCCAACAACAGTAAGCCTAAGGTCTTGAAATTTTAACCTTTTAGACCCAGACCCTGCTGCTGCAGTGTTGGGGTGAAACTCAAACGTTCAGAGGTTAAATCAATGAACTGGCATAATTGAAATTAGAACAAAACCATATCAAACCTGCGCATATGTTTTGTCTTTAGCTTTCTTACCAGGAAATTTCGAACTGAATCTGCAAATAGATAATTGAACAGGGATTTGTGGTGCTCGACGCAACGAAAACACCTTGTGCATTTTGAAAAAGGGTACTATGGGATTTACGACATGTAGGTGTGGATAATCGGCTTTTCTTCAAGGCAAAGTACAATATATATATAAATATTAGAATGAGACAGTTGAGAATTTTTATACGTCATTTATTGATTTTATTAAGATATTATAAAGTCTCCAATCTTACCATTTCAATTTTTAATACGACAATAGTACCCACTTGAAGCATAAATAAAGAAGCATGGCAGCCTCCATTCTGAAGAGCTTGGCAAATTACCGGTGAGGTTTTAACCACTTCCTTTAACTTTTTCAGAGAGAAAATGTTCACTTTTACATAACAGATGATTTTTACAATACTGATCTGAATTTTTAATCCTGTTTTCAGCCAAGTGGCAGAGACAGGGGTACCTTTCATTTTATCTTATTTAACGTCCTGGTATTATTTGGCAATGAGTCGGATTAACGTTAACATTGAGTTTTGAGACTTCACATTTACAATTGCACAATCATTTAAAACCAATGTCAAGACAGGCAAACATATATGAAAGTGTAATATTAACAAAAATACATTTCGAATACCATGTAACCAGCAGCCCCTTTTTTAATGCAGCATGTTTCAGGCGTTTTCAAGTTACTTATGAAGTCAAACACTTGCCACTTAACAAGTGAATGCCATCATATAGTTTCAAATTTCTTAACTTAAAAAATGTCAAAGGGTTTTATCTGTCCCATACTCCCCGAGAAACGGCCTTTGGATAGCTATTTTCTGCTTTATTTCTGTGCGGTGTATATCCCTGGTAGTTTCCATCAAGATTCAAGTCTTATTAGAAAATGTATGCTATTGGGTATATAACAGTAATGGCCCATATATTACTGCAGTATTTTACGGATTTTTGGGAACTGGAGGGACAGATAAAAAGGTCAAGTTTATGACCAGAAATTTATAAAAGGTGAAGTTTTAATTTTTTTTTTTTTTTTTTTTTTTTTTTTTTTGCTGACTGGAAGATTAATTGGTTTATCCCTTTTCATGTAGACTTTATTTGAGACATATAAGAAACTATAGTAGAAGTGAAGGGAATGCAAGCTTCATATATAATTTAAACAGTTTCCTATTTACAGTTTCTGATACTTACTGTACATTGAAGCAAATAGTATATATATATATGTTGCTTTGCATGTATTTAGGGTAAGCTCAGTTCTCAACAGAGATGTGAAGCAGTTTGGGAAGAAGTTTCTATTAGATGGAGATGACGAAACATGTTGGAATTCAGATCAAGTCAGTACAAAAACAAAACATGAATAATTATCATGAATAATGATTTTAATGAAATATCAAGATATGAACTTAAATCTTTTTTTCCCTTTGTAATCTAAGAGTTTGATACATTTAAATGAATGATAAAATAATTACAGGGGTTCAGAAGATAACTTATTAGCAGTGCTGTTCTTATCCTTCAGGGTTCTCCCCAATGGGTTTTACTTGAATTTTCAAAGCAGGTGGTAATAGAGGAACTCCATATACAGTTCCAAGGAGGATTTGCAGGGAAAGAATGTCATGTCGAAGTTGCCAGCATTAAAAGTGATGAGTTTACAGAACTAACAAAGATTTTTCCAGAGGATTCCAATAAGCTTCAGGTATATTTCACATTGTTCAACATTGTAGTTTTTAGATGTACTTTGAAATGTTTGAGTAAACTATTACTTACCAAGAATCACATTTCACCAATTATTGTAATGGGAAAATTATGAATGGTCAGTATGACTATAATGCACTGTACAGCTCAATATAGTGCAACACAGCCCAATACACTACAAAAAAACAAGCAAGCCCAGTGGCAAATAAACACAGGAAATGGTCATTCCCTACAAAATAGGGTCATATGAAAGTGAAATATATTACTTGGTAATTAATATCATTGATACAACTTAAGAAATCGGCACAACTTGTTGTTGGGTCGCCTGCTATGTTGGCAAGTGGATCTTCATGGTTGGTATTGTTGAAAAGAACAGCCACTCACCAACATGGCATCTTACCCAACAATAAACAAGTTGTGCTGATTTGTTATTTATTAATAACCTAATAATATATTTCGCTTTTATATTACTGTATTTGTTAGGAATGACCATTTTCTGTGTTTATTTACGACTGGACTCAATTTTTCTAGTGTATTACGTTGTGTTGCCCTTATTGAACATTATAGCCACACCTGTGAATGGTGGTGTCCTTTACAAGTCTAAATATTTCTTGTTAAATGTATAATTTCCTCATCGCAACAGTTTGAAATTCAGTTCACAATTCCACATGTTGGCATCGTTTTTTATGATTTAACAAAGGATCATTATTTTCTTTCTCATATTTCTTAGGTATTTACATTGACCCCTGCTCCTCCAGTCAGCAAGCTTCGCATTGTATTTACAAGCAGCACGGATTTTTATGGCAGGATAACAATATACAAACTAGATGTTATTGGAAGGACAGGGTCACATGATTAAAATGTGTTAATATCCCTTGATTGGCTTGATTATGCCTTGCATGTCATTGTGAAGAATGGGAAAGTGAAAAAATGGGAAGTATGCATTCTGTATCCTAGAGTAATCAATTGCTTGTGCACTGCTTGAGGGACAGACAAAAACTTTATAGATAAACTTTCCCAATTGCTGAAATGTGTATGTATATTTGGGCTTGTCTATGTAATGATTAAGGTTGAATCAATGGCCATAGTTTTTGTTTTTAAAATGGCAAAGCAGTGGATTGATGATGATGATGATGATATGATAATGGGAAACTGCCTAACCAGCAGGTCATGGTCAGTTGAAATGCCAGAAGACCTTAATCTTTTTTGATATCGCAAGTCCTCTGGACTGTCAAGGTTTATGTGAAAATACAATACATAATAATAAATCACTTGATAATAAATCACAATCACATCTCCTCCAGACCTTCAGTATCTCCAAAGTTTTCACCATGTATGGTAGGTGGAAAAGCATTTTTGCACAATCTGACAACCTAAGGAAGACTTTTATTAAGACAGTACAATAAATAAATAAATATTTGAGGGAACTCCATTTAACCAGTTTAAACATTAAAACAAGTTGGGTTTGAGGAATGATACAATGCTTCTGATTTGTGCCAGCTGAGAAAGGCGTCTTCTCTACCACATTTCGCTCATTCATTTCTTTTTTCCACTTGTATGATTTTGACCTTGATTTTGGTCTTAAGAGACATTTGAAAGGAATATCAGTACTTTATTCCCATATACTGGCTCCATTATTAAGAAAATCAAAATTGAAACCAGATCGTGAAATTTGAAATGAATGTTTTAGATAATGTGGGTGATTGCTTCTTTCTTTCTCATGTCAAATTTTATGTTTGATCTTTTATTAATGAAACGTGTGTTGTCAGCACAGGAAATGGCGGAGTTTAACAAGGGTTCGAACGTTGAATTACGACATCGTAAATGGCACTTTAATCAAGGTAAAGATGAAAGCTAATATAAATTGTTTCCCATTTGAGATGGTGTTGGTGTTGAGTACTTTTTGTTGGAAAAATATTTGATTCTACCAGAGATTTCCATTTGCTCTACTCGATAAAGAATTTTCTGGTACCGGTGAAACAATCATCGTAGGTTTGCGTGAGAAACTTATAAAATAAAGGACAATGGGATCCCAAATTCCGATCATAGCTTTAAAAAGATGCCGAAAAAGTGAGGTCGTCAACCTATTCTCAAAATAAGGTTTTAGACGAACATAATTGCAACGGTGTACGTCATGTGAAAACGTTATTATGTTGGCATTACCACAAATGACATTCATTACGGCAATAATGAATTAAAGTAATAGTTGCATACAGGAAGTTACCGACTTGATTGAAGCGGGAGAACCGTTATTCCGTTTGAGCAACCCCGAAAGAATACCGGCTATGCCGCTAGCGCTGCTAGTGAACATCAATCTTTCAACCTGAAAGAAAACTTTAAACAGGATGATATTGATATTGACGGCAATTAGTGATTACCTTTTTATCTTACTAAACATAAAAAACTAAACGTGGATGGGAATCTCATTAGTGACAAAATGAGGGCTTAGTGTTCACTCATTTTCATATACTCTTCCGTTAGATGATATGTAAGGTAGGCGAATAATAAAACTGAACAATTATTAAGTAAACAAGAATCAAAAACGATTATTCAGTTTCTATTTACGTGAAATCCGTGTTTTTAGACGTAAGCTCTTTGGCTACAAATAACATGATGAAATCATCAAAATTGGTTTCATTGCAGATGACTGCACAGATTTTATACCAAAATTTTGCTTGCTTGTATATGATTATATATGTTACTATAGTAAAAGGTGTCAATTTGTGAATAACGATCCGTAGGTCCAGCTTTAATATTATTGCTCAAACTGACTAATATTACGTAAGCATGAAAACGCAATAGCGTCAAACAAGAAGTTTTAATTTTGACCATGCAGGTAATCATCTACAAATTTAGCCGCTCTTATATTTTACTTCAACGTTAGGTATGAAAACGTTTTGAATTGGACGTACATTGAGTGAAATTTAATTGCATCTCAGGGGCCCGATCCGGATAATATTCAGATGCACTCTCAGACCAAGAGGAATCGATACTGAATAATGCTTGGTTTCGAGATATTGTGCATGTTTGGGGTTTTTTTTGCTAACCGTTTGGTGCTTATATGCCAGCTGTTATGCTCAAATTAGCTTTTATAATTAAGTATGACCGTAAACCTTTGACTCAGAACACGGAATTTATAACAACCCAAAGCTGTACGTCCGACCGCAGCAGTGTGTATAGACCCAATACGCGGTGAAGTACTTCAAGCGTTTTCTATTCACTTAGTAGTAGATTGTATCGCCGTCACACCTGTGTATTGAAGGGAAAAAGATTTAATGTGCGCTCGTATGTTATCCCTCAAGAAAAAAATACAAGAATTCAATTAGCGAGTCATTTCCATTAGTCAGTTCAGACGAATAATTGTTCCTCACTGAAGTGAATGTAATCGGATTCAGTAATGGCTCTGCCCAACGAGTGGCTTAGCGTCCTGGATAAAAAATAAGTTGGTGTGTGTTCTTGTGTCGATAAACTATGCTTACCTTAGTTCAGGTGCTTTTATTGTGAATTAAAGACCATCATTTAGGAAACAATCCAGTCTAATTTTCCTGGCAATATGGCGACTGATTTAGGCGAAGACTAGCTATTCGCTGCTCAGTCCTTCCCCATGTTAGGAGAAATAGGGCGCATTTAGAACAAGTTGATCCGCGGATCAAATATGGCCGATCTACTTGAAAGCTCGCCGCATAATCCACTTGTAGTCACTGAAGAGACTCTCCTTGGGGGTTACGCGGTAAGCTTTTAAGTGGGTTGGCCATATTTGATCCGCCGAGCTGTTAGTCCGCGGATCGATTTTGACTGGGAATGCGGCCATAAATATGCCACGTAACTAGTTATTGCACGAATGACCTGTGTGTGTGTGTGTGTGTGTGTGTGTGTGTGTGATGTTTTCTTTTGTTGTTTTTTTTTATGTATCTGCCATATCTAAACATTATATAGAAATGTTTTACACTAAAACAGAAACAACATCAAACAAAGGAATCAAAAATGCAACCCAAAGGCCTATTCAGAATAGGGGACTAACTAGTTCGAGGGTCAAATATGGCAGACCCACTTGAGTACTTCCCCACGGGATATCTATTCAGTGTCTATTAGCGGATTAGACGGCAAGCTTTGTAGTGGTTCGTCATATTTGACCCTCGCACTAGTTAATCCCCTATTCTGAATGGGGCCAAAGAATGTGCCAAGTAAAACCAACGGGCAAAGCCATAACCAAAAGTTGCTAATGGTATCGCTTTTCAGATGTCTTTAGTTGCACTTAGATAACTGATGATATTGGATTAAAAACTTCATTAAGCAAATTGCGTATATTATTTGAAATCTGCCATCCAGGTTGCTTTAGGCCTTGAACCTCTTCGTGTTCGCTGATCCACTGCCGCTTTTGCACCACATTTAATTGATGTCAAGCCTTATTACCCGCATATTTCGTATAGATGTTATTTCTCTGTGATGTTGCATGTTGACGTAAGTGAAACTGGAATATACTCATTCCAGTTTTCTGAAGTTCAATTTAGATAGCATTTTCTTCAGTATCGAGATGATATTTAAGGCGTCGCTAAGTTAGCTACGCTACTGGCAGCAAGTTTAGTGCGTATTTACTAACAAAGCTCCACTACCACCACCATCTCTACATTCCCTTCAACCACCGCCCAAGACAAACAACAGCAACCAAACAACCGTACATCACAATATTCACAGTGACAATGCGATTGCACTTTCTCTCTCAGTTTTTTGATTGACTTAAATATTTCCACCGGGCTGTCTTAGCTAGGTTTCAGTTTTCTTCTTTTTTTCCAAATACAGGAATTGAGGAAATCTATCATCATACCGCTGTGAAATATAATCAGACTGAAAGCGAGTAGGTGTCTTTATAAAATAATCATTCGGAGTCTTGAATTTTCTTCGTGCATGGAAACACCAATGAAAAACTAGGAAGGAGCATTATGGCTCTAAGTATCAGTTATGTTGTTTTTTTTTTGCGTCATCAGTCAGCGTTTCTTATCTTTGAATACGTAGCAGTGCATGTGTCGCACGTACAGCTATAAATTGAACCACTTGACTGGTAGGCTTTTAACAAATGGTAAACTTTAGAGAGATGTCTTGCAGACTTAAATTGCAATCTCTTAAAGCTATAGACAGTCAATTGCTGGCGAGAATACACACTCAGGAAAACTCAAGTGATGTTTATAACACTTTCCTTTTAGTCCGTCATTTCGCATTTCCCATCCATTCGAACTTAAAAATCCAATTATATTAGACCGTATGATAAACTAACAGCTTCTGTTGACCCAACCAGCCTGATGAGACCTCTCATTTCGTTTAATATGTGTGTATATATTCGCATTCAAATACCCATGTGAGTGGTTGGTTGGCATACATTTATCATTTGAGGAGAAAAACCGTTTCAACTTCTAATTTTGTCTTGAAGGTTTTGACCTACTATCTCCCTAAGCAGTTCGTCGTCTTTTGGATGATGGCCTTCTTCCAGACTGTCGCAGCCTTTATCCAGTTGATAATAACAACGTCAATCAAAATGGAGCACCATTCCACACGGTTAAGGCTACATAGGAACTATTAGAAAATGGTGCATTGGGTGAATTTATAAAGAAATTTGACCTGTTTGTTATCCAAAGTCACACTTTTCTGACTTTTGGAACCGTCTACCAAAAAGTGTATAGTGGTCGGCGTGTCATTAAAGCTGAATAAAACGGTCATATTTCAGAGGTTTTCAAGATATAAGTATAGAAAGTAACGTGATGAACCTATGCAAGTGTGAAGAAGAAGACCTATTTGGGGGATAATACATACATGAATAAATTGTTATACTTCAAAAGGTTTCATTTCGACATTTTGCACATGGACTATGGTCTTCAATTTATGGTCACATTTCTATGCTGGAGGTATTACCTTGAAATAGCAAGAAGGGGAATGTCACTGAATTGCAGAGGAAATTTTTGGAGTAACCACATCAAAATCTAATGATAATATACTATGAGAAAACATGAAATCTAACACCGTAAAATCCAACTGAAAAGGTAAAACGACACAATTGGGTAATCCCAAAACCAGTCAAATCACTATAAAAGGGAAAATCCATATAGTGGAATCAGGGACAAAAATGGTAGAAAAACTGGACTTAGTCGAACAAATGAAGATATCTACAAAATACTATTTGGAAAAATTGCATATAGACCGACAGGGCTAGTAACTTCATTCAACGTCCATACGTAAACACACTAATGTAGAACTTGAATGATGTTGTTCCTATCAAGAGCTTTGAGGAATTGTAAGGTATTACCTCCAATATTTCTGCAGCTGTCTGCTATTTTCATCAGGAGGAAACTGATTAGGGTCATTTCACCTGGAAAACCAGGTCTATTGGCCTTAATAAAGGATGAAAGTTTATGACGGCTGCCGAAA